GTGATTCTAATCAGCGATGTTCAAGAAAACAGGGACCTCATCCTTGTAGTCATAAGAAAAAGTTCCAGACACCAGTGAATTAGGAAGAGCAGCTGGAGCTGCATATCCAAACCACAGCCAAGCTAACACCCTTGGTCTTTGCTTGGTAAGTACCTAGGCCAAGGGCCAGCATGCTGCATATGGACTTCTACCCTCTGTCACTCTAAGATTATAAATCTGTGCTGTTTTGGAGCACTAAGTTTGTGATAATTCATTATGTAGCAATAGAAAGCTAATTCAATTCCCAAAAATCCCATCGTTGTTTTTATATTATGTTCTTTACTCTTTGGGGGCCACCTCCCGGCTCCCAAATAAATCCCACACAGAGGCTTATTACTTATAAATGTCCGGCCTTAGCGTGGCTTGTTTCTAGCCAGCTTTCCTTAAATTATCCCATCTGCCTTCTGCCTCTGGGCTTTCCCCTTTCTCTCTTCTCTAATCTTTCACTCTTACTCCCTAGCTGGCTGGCCCCTTCCACTCTCAACCTTTGATCTGGCCTCTTTTCTCTATTCTCTCTTCCCGCCAGCCCCACCTGTCCTTTCCCCTGCCTCCCTATCGGCCACTCAGCCCTTTATTAGACCAAACAGGTGTTTTAGACGGGCAAAGTAACACAGCTTCACAGAGTTAAACAAATGCAACATTAAAAGAATGCAGCACATCTTTGCATCGTTAAAACAAAACGTTCCAAGGCATAAACAAATGTAACTCATCTTAAGACAGTCTACAACACCCCAACACAAATTAGAATCATTTGGCTGCCAGCAACAGAAATCAAGTTTGGGGAGCAAACAGAAAGCATGTTTTCTAGAACAGTACTTACAGTAGTCACACAACACGAACAGCTCAAGTGAATCCGAGCAGGATAATGGACTGGAGGTATTTCCAGGCTGGATTCCATTTTTAAGACTTTATTTTGTTTGGTTATTTTGTTTGGTTTTGCTTTTTTGAGATAGCTTTGTACCCTGGGCTAGTCTCCAACTTACTGTGTAGCTGAGGATAACCATGAGATTGTGACCCAAGTGCTGTAGATACAGGCCTGCACCACCGTACACAGCCACATTTAAATTCTAAGTAAATGGGTTGGGAAGACGGCTTAGCAGTTAGGGGAACTTACTCCTCTTCCACAGGATTTGAGTTCAGTTCGTAGCACCCATGTCAAGCAGCTTACAATCTCTTGTACCTCCTGCTGCAGGGGATAAAATGCTTCTGGCCTCTTCTGGCTCCCTGAACCACATAAACATCTTCCCTCCTCTACACACATCTACACATAATTAAAGAAATCTTTTTTTTTTTTTCCAAGACAGGGTTTCTCTGGGTAGCTTTGTAGTCCAGGTTGGCCTTGAACTCGGAGATCCACCTGCCTCTGCCTCCCAAGTGCTGGGATTAAAGGCGTTCACCACCACAATCAGCTAAGAAATAAATCTTAAAAAAAAAAAAAAAAATCCAAAAGCCAAAACAAAACAAAAAAGCAAAACAAAAAACTAAACTCCAGAGAAACAGCAGCTGAGTTGTCTTATTTAACAACCTCATCAAAGTTATAACAAGTTCAGAGTTTCTGTCTCATGTGTAGGAAGCCATAGAGACTTGATCCATACTCTCTACCCCCCATAAACTGAGCATGGTGACATACCCATGCATTTGGAAAGTAGAGACAGGAAGGTTAGAAATTTCCAGTCATCTTCAGGTACATAGTAAGTCACAGGCCAACCTGTACAATACACACACACACACACACACACACACACACACACACACACACACACACAGAGGTGTGAGGACAGAGGCAGGTGTATCTGAGTATGAGGCCAGCCTGGTCTACAGAGAGTGTTCCAGAACAGCTGGGGCTTTATGGAGATAACCTTCTCTATACATATTTAAATAAATAAATAAATGGAAACAATTTGCACCGGCCTCCTGCTATTTGCTGGTCTCCCTCAGCTAAGGGCTGTGGATATAAGCCTGGGTCAATATGCTAAGGTAGGTGCTGACAGACCTCTGATGTAGAAGCCTCAGGAGTTGGTTGTTTCTGGATGCACCATATTTTGGGCAGCACATGATAGTACCGCTTTGCAGTTTTAATTTGTCTTATTCATAATGTCCAACATCTTTTTATATATTTACTGGCTGGCCATCTACTTGCCGCCTTCTGGAAATTGTGTGTGTAACCCTTCTGCCTATTTCCTTAGCGAGTTGGTTACCTTACTTTTGAGAGAGTTCTTTCCATATTCTGGATTTAAGGCGTCTGTCTACCAGATGTGTTTGTAAATAATTTTCTTTCTCTATGTTTGCTTGTGTTCCCAGTAGCAGTTTCGATGAAACCCAGTTCTCATTTTATCTTAATATGAGTTGTATTTTTGTATTCTGCTACAGAGAGCATTCATCCATGTTTCACTCCAGAAATGTTACAGTTTTGAACTTTGTTTGCATATACTATACATTTCAGGTAATCTTGTTTACAGCATGACATTAGAAACAGTATATGTCTCCTCATAGATAATCCAGTAAGTACCATTTAGTTAAGTCTATCGTTGTCCCACTGAAGTTTTCTTTTATCTGTATCTAAAACAACTTGAGTAAACAAATGTTAAGTCTCCTACCCCCCACACCAACCAGGCCCAGCCTGCTTAGTTTGTGAGATCAAATATGATTGAGCTCGTGCAGGGTGGCAGGGCTGATAATGCCATAGATACTGCTTAGGAACCGAGTTCCTTCATAATGTTGGCTATCTGGCAAGGCTATTTTTTACATCCCTTACATTTTATGTGTTCTAGCATTATTTTATATTGAGGTACAGTTTTTGTGTCACACATTCACTATTTTAACATGTATGCTTCAATTGTTTTTAGCATATTCAATTCTCTGGTACACCATCATCTAAATCTAAAACATTTTCATCATATTCTACAGAAACCTTACACCAGCCATTAGCTAGTTCAATTGCCTGCTCTCCTTGATTCCTGGCAACCACTAATCTACTTCCTCTACAGATTTGCCTAGTCTGGCTATTTTATATAAAGTCATAGAATAAGTGGCTTTTTAGTCTGGCTTCTTTTACCCATGCTTGAAACAGTAGCATCCAACAGTATTTCATGTCTTTTCATGGCTGTTATATCCCATTGTTTGAACCCACCTCAACCGCTTGTCTATTCTTCTGGTGTGGCGAATTGTTTCCAGTCTGGGGTCATTATACATAATGCCGCCAGGATCTTTTCCATGCATGCTTCTATACAACATATGTTTTTGATTCTTTGGGGTATATTCTTGGTAGGGTTCCTGGGCCATGTGGGAACTCTGTTTAACATTTTTAAGGACCTGTCAAATTGCTTTGCACAGGGCCCTCAACATTTTACATCTCCAATGTCAACAACTGTTTCTTTATATCTGTGCTGTTCATTGCTTTGTGGTTTTGTGAGTTCCCTAGTGACCAGCAGCACTGACCAACAGCACTGAAAGTCTTTCATGTGTCCATTTAAATCTTTGGCTAATTTTTATCTTTTTTAACCTGTTGAATTGTAGATTGCTTACATATTCTAAATACTGGACCATGATCAATATATGACTTGGCAAAGATTTTCATTCACTCTGTGGATTATTTTTAAAATTTCCTTTCTAGTATCTTTTGATGCTAAAACTTTTGAAATTTGATGTTTATTTTGAATTTGATTGTTTTGTAGTATAGCTAGTTTTACACTAAGTGTGTGTGTGTATACACACACACACACACTCAGGAATCAGCCTATTTTAAGGATTTGTTAACATATTTTCAACATTTTTGTGTGTTTTATGTGGTATATATGTATGTATATGTGGTGTGTGTATGTGGTGTGTGTGGGTGTAGTGGGTGTGGTGTGCTGTGAATGTATCTGGTGTGCATACGTGTGGTGTCTGTATGTCTGTATGTGTGTGGTGTGTGTATGTGTGTGGTGTGCATATGTGTGTGGTCTGTCTCTGTATCTATATGAATGTGTGTGGTGGTCTGTATGTGTGTGGTGTGTGTAGCTCAGAGGATGTCTTGCAAGAGTGAGTTTTCTTATCCACCGTGTAGGCTCTGGGGATGGAATTCAGGTTCTCATGATTGGAAGAAAGTGCCTGAGCTACCTCTCTGCCTCCAGGTTTGATGACATTGTCTTTCAGTGTGATAGGTTGATTACTTTAGAAGTAACTGTGGATGTAGAAAGGTTTTCTTTATAAAGACGAAAAGATCCATCTTTCCACTCCCATGGTCCTTTCCACAGTTTCAATCTTGCATTACATACAGCTTTTAATTGTGCTTATTTCTCAGTTTAACTTTAATTTTGCTGTGAGACAGTCTTACTACATAGCACTATTCACTGTTAGTATTCACCATTAGTTCAGTCTGACCTCAGACACCTGAGTGCTAAGATTTACAGGCATACACACTATGTCTGACTTTTAATCTTTCTCTTAATTGTAAATGACGTCAAGGGTGAAATGCTGACAACTAGAAAAAAGCATTTGACTTAGGTTTGGTGGCACACACCAGTAATCTGGACATTGCAAAACTGAGGCAGGAGGGCAGGGTTCAAGTCCAGGCTGGACTGAATGTGAGATACTGTCTATTTCACACTATTTACAGTCTGAATTGAGGCCAAGGTCAGAACCACACCTCAAATGTCCTGTTTTCTTTGCCCTTTAGATTAAGAAGCTTGAAGTCTGGAGGTGCTGAGTGCTTCAGGCAAGGTCACACAGCAAATACGGAGTGGCAGTCTCCAGTTAGCCCACTCGTGGATCGGGAGCTCTGTCAGTCTTCCAGCCTCCATAAGGGCCAGAGTTCTGACATGCCCTGGAAACTTAGATATGCCCAAGGTCCGACTTCAGCAATCGGGTCAGAAACAAAATAATCAAGAATCAGAAGAAAAATAACGTACATAAAACCACAGTCACATAGAAGAAAAAGCAAAACTCAGGCAGATACTCTTACACCCCAAACCCCCAAACCTCCAGAGCTTCCTGCCAGTGAACCGAGAGGGGGAGTGCGAGTGTGTCTTGGCGTTGCTGGCAGGTGCTGTTTCAAAGACCCACGGACCTCCACTTCCTGGGGTGGCAGCCACAGAACAAAGCTTACAGAGACTCCTTCAACGCCTCCCTTTCTCCGATCCTTCCAGGCACAGCCACCTCCGGGCACCATCCTAGGGCACCATCCTAGGAGTGGAAGATGAAGTGGAAGGCGGCTATTCTGGCTGGCATCCTTCAGGTGCAGTTCCTGGGAGCAGGTAAGGATGCTTTCTCCGTGGCTGGACACTTTTTAGAGGCTGTGTGTGTGTTTGAGTGGCAGCAGAGGGGCGCAGAGGACGTAGTGTTTCTTTTAAAGCCTGTTCTCCCAAAGTCAATGGACGGACGGGCAGGACCGGGTTGGGTCCCGTGCAGGCGTCTGTTCTGTGGAAGCCAAGCTGGGTGCTGATTCAGAGCCCGCTGTTTGAAAACAGTTGTAAATTGTAAGTGATAAAGAGGAGGGAGTCTGTGGAGGGAAGGGGTGAGGAGAAATGAGGCAAACGGGCAACAAAGGCAGGTCGGCGCCGAGAGGCAGCATTTATACGAAAGCCGCACAAGTTCCGATACACCAGCTAGGCCGCGCTCTGTTCTCTGCCTTCCAGATAAATCATGTCTCCTTCTTTCCTTTCCCCTTGGGTTGGCATTGCCATTCTGCCCCGTCCTTTCCTCCTTTGCCAACAAATGACATTACCATGGTCAGTGAGGGAGGGTCAGGCCCTGGATGGGTGGAACCGAGAGGACTCGATGGAGAGAAGTGTATGAAGGAAGAAGCATCGTGTTTGCGGCCTTTTGCAAGGTGCATTGCTACTTTCTGGCCCAGAGGCTTAAGTCTAAGCTCACACTGTAAGTGCTGTCCCCACACCATGACCACCAGCCCTATGATACACCATCTCTGCCTCAGTGACACACTCACACGGTGCTCTATCTGACCCAAGCAGCCAGACACTGACAGAAATGTCGGGAACAGGTGGGAGAGTGTGTGCTAAGTCACTCCCACGAGTCCAGAGGAGAATCTGTACCTGTGCTCTTAGCGGGCCTCTGAAGCCTGCCTTTTTTGCATGTTGTTGTCTTAGCATACCCCCTAGTTCAGACACTGGGAGTGAAAGCAAGTGAACAGAAAAGACAGGCCACTCACAAGATTGGTGTCATGGTGTTTTTTGTTTTTGTTTTCAAGAAATGGGACAGTCTGTGTTTGAATCTAGATGGAAGCTGTAAGGAACATTCTTCCTCTACTTTGTAATTCACCTCAGGATGGTAGCTTGTTGAGTGGTAAGACTAGGAGGGCAGGAACCGCCATCATCATGGTTGTTCCCTCCAGGGAAGGCACAGCAGCGCTGGGCTTAGCACCTCCGGGCAGTGAGGGTTCAGCAATCAGCTTTTCTGTATGATCACAGCGCTTTTCTCAGAAAGGGCCTGGCGGGTATGACTCACAGGGTACTGTCGGGTAATAGCTCTGGAGGGAGCCCACAGCAGCCCTTCCTCATGGGCAGGGGCGAAGCATCTTCACAGCCTGAGAGGTTCTGACTTCAGGGCCAGCTGCTGCAGGCAATAGGTCTGGACTTCTGGCAGCAGGCTCCCAAGAGAGGGAGAAGATTGTCAGGTCTCTCCACTTTTGTCTGCTTCTCGCTGATGCATATGTGGCAGGCTCTGGATCTCCAGTAGAAGCTTATGGGAGTTAGAGAGAAACTACGTGTAGCTGGGTTGGTGGTAGCTACCAAGACCAGTAAACAAATCCTACCCAGAGGCCAGGAGGCCTGTGGCGATTTCCACCAAAAGCGAGGAGTCCAGTGCCTTTCCCTTTGGGTAAGCCCAGACACTGGAGTCTAAGCCAGTATTGAACTAGTCAGTCCACTAAGTCTAGCATGACCATGTCCAGGCTCGAGGCAGGAAGAACTAAAATGGAGTCTGGGTGGCACAGAACATGTCTGTCTGCCAGCCCTCAGCTTCTTGGTACTTCTAACTGCCCCACTGTGGCTAAGGATGAAACCAGTGGTCAGTACAGTCTTTGTTCACTCTCTGGGGAGGGACAGCGTCTCTAGTGTGAAGCCTCAGGGTTTGTGAGACACTCTGCTTCTAAGAAGGCAGCAGGCAGAGGCATGCCAATCATAGTACTTCCTAGTAGCAAGTCCCTAAGCAACCTAGTGGATCTTGATGGTCCTGCGTTATGTTAGGTTTCCTCTAAAGCAAAGATATTAATGTATTCCTTGCAGAGATGTGAATATAATGCTTCATATATAGAGATATACATGTACGTATGTGTATATACGCACACATACACGCATAAAGGAAAGTCAGTAAACAGAAATTGAAGTAATTATTAGGAACAGGAGATGGAAACCTATGGTTGAGATTCTTAACTCATAAAGCACCAACCATCATCAGAGTATGCAACTTGTCCCTTCTCTGGATTCTGGGCTCACGGACACCAGGACAGAAAACCAGTAGTGGGTCCTCCAGTAAATGTGGATGGACATAAGATAAACATTGCATCTACCATTTCAATATCTTTAGAACACCATGTAGGAAAATGTTCCTTCAAAATGAAAACAAGACTGAAAATGTAAATAAAGATGGTGGGAGGCTTGGGGGGGGGCCTGGAATTCAAAGCAAAATGTACCTAGTTAACATGTTCAGGGTGGCCACCCAAATCGGCTGGTATGGATACACTGACTAGGGATTTATATACAAACATCTTAAACACCAAATCTTGGTTGACACTTCTGGAAATAGACTAGGAGGAAACCAAGTAATGGCGTTGCTAGTGTCTCACAGATGGCATTTTCATGCTTGGTTTGTTTGTCCTCCAGCCCCTGACCCTGTTTCCAAGATGAAGGCTTCAATTCCCTACTTCAGCCCTTCTCAGACTTGGGAGACTAGACACAATTGTTGCTACAAAACACCTCCACTAACGGCTCTAAGACTTCATGCTAACTTTGTTAAAGCATTCTATTCATTTAGCATTATGTTTAGTTTTGCTTTTTGGTCTTTAAAAAATAAGACTAGCTGGGCATGGTGGCCCATGCCTTTAATTGCAGCACTTGGGAGGCAGAGATAGGTGGGTCTGAGTTCCAGGTCAGCCTGGGTTACATAGTGAGATACTGTATAAAGATAAATAAATAAAAATTAGGTTTAATTTTATTGAGTATATACCTTTTCTTTCAAATGTTACCCAATATGTATCTTACATTTTATTTAGTAGGTTTTAGGCATCAGAGAATTGCTTTAGACTCAATTAGTATAGACACACAATTTGATAATACCCTTTTCCTTCTTGCTTTTGTATCTATAGGTTGGGTAGCTGATTAAACGAAGGTCAGAAATAGTTCTGATTGATTGCTTAGACTCGAGACAAAGCTATTGCTTCTTTACAACAAAATGATGGTAGCTACAACAGGGACAAATATTCAATGAATTTGGCTGAAAACCCAAGTCATTTGACCTGTTAGCTGAAACAAGTCATTTTGCACTATATGTGGACAGTGACCATAGTTCCCGAGGAAAGCGATACCCTTGTTTGCTCTCAGATGCCTCCCCAGTGCTCAACACAGTATTTAGGATAGGGTCAATACACAATGCATATCCCAGTGTTTGGTTTTGGGGATGAATTAAAAGGTTGAGTGAGTAAAGGGAATCTAGACATTTTCACACAATTAACTTTAACGATTTATTGGATTGGCATCATTTGGACCTTTCCTCTGGACAATTTAGTATGAAACTGAATGTTAAAAACTAAACTAAACTAAAAAGTCAGGAATTACAGGGGCAAGGGTGAACAGAACAACTCAACATGAATTACAATGTTAGTGTTTACGCCTAGCCATATGAAATTCTACTATTGAGTTTTGTTTTGCTTTGGGGTACCAGCAGCATCTCACACATGCTAAACATTTTTACCACTGAGCCATATCTGCAGCCCTCTTTTTTCTTTGGGTGGGAGACAAGAACCACCAAATTGCTCAGCCTGCTAGAGTAGAACTCATTTTATAGTCCAGGCGACCTTGAACTTGCAATATTCCCACCTTGACCTCCTGGCAGAATTACAAGCCTGTGCTGTCAGATCCAGATATTTATTATATTCATTTCAAACGACTAAACCAATAGTCTATCTTAAAACCAAGCAAATGCACTCTTTTCTCTTCCGGCTTCTGCTCTAATGCTGGGGAAAGGCAGACAATCACTGCTGGAGATGGATGGTTAATGAACTAATAAAGCAATGAACGTCTTCCAGGAATAGAAGATTCTGTGGATTATAGCAAGAATCACAGTCCTGTGTGACTTCCATGTTTGGTCTTCATGACCACTTTGAAAATTTATGTTCCATGGTTTCTTTTATTTTTCATTATTTCCTTGTTGGTGGACAATTAGGCTACGTCGAATGCTTGTTTTCAGGGAAAATATACATGTAGCTTTCTTCATGGGGGTGGCGTGTGCAAATTCAGGACTGGTGGTTAAAAGAACAGGTCAAAATAACAGCATTTCCCAGGGGACTCTCGATTCAATCCCCTTGAGAAAAGAATGTGACGTTCTCTCCATGACCATCTACACATGGTTGTCTTGCTGGAGCATGCTGTGTGGTAAGGAGAGAGAAAACTGCAGGAAGAACGATCTGGGTGGAAGTCAGGACTCTTTCATGGCCTCTGTCGGTTGACGACGAGTGGCCCACCTTGCTCATTCCTTCCTAAGATGGAGAGGATGGTGATCTCCTTGAAGAGTGGAGATGATGTTCAGGGTGGCCAGGCTCGGCGTGCTTGGGAAGTGTTTTCAGTTTTCCCAGTCTTCAGAATAGAATATTATTTTCCCAGTGCAGCAAAGCTGGAACACAGCTCAAGTGTGCTCTTTTTCTCCCTCTCACTAAATTGTTGGGTAAACTTGGCCAGAACTGTCTGCGAGCCTTCATTTTTCCCATGTGTGCAATAAAGAGCGTGGAGAAAATAGAAGGTTCTCTTCAGCTACAAAATAAATTACCTATGGTCAGAAAGACTTACTTACCTAGCCCTTTAAGTCTCACCCCCCCCCCCATCCTACCTCACTGGTGTTGACTCTCAAAATTTGAAAAATAACCTTTTTTTTTTTTTTTTTTTTGTCTGTTTTTGTTTTTTGTGTATATGTACTCTCAGGGCTGACCACATTGCATTGGACAAACAGTAAGGGGGCTCGCCCCTTAGAGAGGCTAATTCTCCTTTCCAAGTGGTCATTTGTTGCCTGTAGTTCTTTATCCGGG